CTGAATCCTCCTTCAACCTATTCCTGAACAATGGACACAGGTCAGCCAAAAGCTGAACATCTCTCTCATTCTGTAGAAGATACCGAGCCCATTCTGGCAACCGCTCAACAGGAAAAACATATTTAACCAGAGATAAAGCATCAGCATTCACAATTGATGATAGCAATACACTATTTGGAGATAGTAATCTGAAAATCCTGCCTGTAAAAAAGTAAATACATAGAGATAAACATCAGCAGAGGCAAAATTGACTGAAAAGCTACACAGATGTATAGAGTGAACTATCATCAGAACAAGTAAAAATCGCAGCTCAGCATGTATAAGCTAAAAAGTGTAGTGATTGAGAAGAGAAGTAGAGAACGTTCCATTTAGGTAGACATGACAGGAACGGAACAGTGTTCGGGAGCATACCTGCAAGCTCGGAATCGTTAGATAGAGAGGCAACATCGATCCATCCAGATGGCGAAAGAGACTTGTGATCTACCGGCGGCGTGTCGTCGAAACCGAACACTTTACAAATTAGGGTTGGGAAAGTGATGGAGAAGAAGCAGCGGGTCTGGTCTGCGGTGTACAAATGGAGAAAAGAGTCTACCTCCGCACAGGCGGCCACGATCTGCGACGGAGAAGAAGCGCCGAGAATGAGAGTGGCCAAGTCGGCGGCCTTCGTCTGAGTGGCCGTAGGATAGGAGCGCGAAAACATCTGAGCGCAAGTAGAAGTCAAGGAAATGGAATGAACTGATTGATACTTGGAAGGTTTATCTGAGGTTTTGAATGGGAGAGACGATGGACTCGAATGGCGCCTTTCCAAACACGAAAATACGGACGGAGTATATTCGACTTCGAGAGGGTGAAAATGGAGTACTATCTCGAAGCAGGAGATGACTCTACGTGGCAGTTCAGACGGTAAACAATACAGGTGATTGGATCATATCACTTTATCTTTTTTAATTTAGATTTAAATAATTCAACTGCTACATTCTCATTTATCCATGTGAACAAAGGTATGGTACCTTATGGGTACCATAGAATCTACCAAATATATAAGCGTAAAATAAAGATTATTTATCAAAATATACGACCTAAGTTGTCATGAATTTTTATTTTTTAACAATAAATAAATACTCCGTATTATTTAGTTTTATTAAATTAATAAACTTTTGTGAAGAAAAAATTATTAAATATTAGCAATGGAATAATTAAAATAAATAAATAAATCAAAGCTTATAAAATGTTAAGCCCTAGATTGATAGTATTTCATCATTCGAGCCTTATATTGATATATTAATCTTTTAGGTTTCGAATTGATATATTAATCTTTTAGGTTTCGAATTGATAATTCGTTTATCCTTCAGGTCCCAGATGGACTATAACTCTATAAGGGAGTGTTTGCAACTGCTTAAAAAAAAGCACTTCTCAGCTTTTGGCTTTAAAAAGCACTTATTTACCAAACACTACCAATTTTTACTTTTTCTCGGCTTGCGTGTGAAAAGTGCTTTTCCCTTTTCTATTACACAAAAAGCACTTATTTTACCAAACACTACCAACTTTTACTTTTCAAAATCACTTTTTTCTCAAACACTATCAACTTTTACTACCAATCACTTTTTCATTACTTCTCCAAAAGTGCTTTTTTTTAAGCAGAAGCAGTTGCAAACACTCCCTAAGACACACTATTCACCATTCTCATTTTGATTATTTGTCACAATATATTATTTATCACAATATATTTTTCCAATTTAATTATTTGTATATTATTAAATTGGGAAAAGGGGCAAATAAGCTCTCGAACTAATTAAAAAATGCAAATCACCCCTTATATTGAAGGTTCTGTCCGGCCATCGCCATTTGGGCGGTTCCCGGTGAAATTTTTTGATTAATTTTTTTTAGAATTTTCTTCATTAAATCTAGTTTATCCATATCAAATTTCAACTAAAAATAAAACCAGGAAGGTAGTCAAATAATTTTCTGAAACATGCAGCGCTATTTAACTACGCAATTATCTTCAAAAATCATTTGACTGCTTTCCCGATTGAATTTTTATCTAAAATTTGGTATGGATAAACTAGACTTAATAAATAAGATACTCAAAAAAATCATCAAAATATTTCACCGGGAACCTCCCCAAGTGACGACGGACATACAGAGCCTCCTATATAAGGGGTGATTCACATTTTTTTTGTTAGTTCGGAGGCTTATTTGCCCCTTTTCTCTACTAAATTTGTATATATTCGTAACTACAGTCCAATAATAATAAGATAAATACATGCAATGTGACCAAATTAAATACTACGTAGTTTCACTCTACAATGTCATTAAAAGGTCATCTCCATGAAATTCATTGTTGACGTCTTCTAGAAAGACACTTTTACTTTGAATTGAAACAAATTTAGGAATACCTCATTTATATGACGAAAATTTTTTGGTGTACACAAATGTGTACACCTTTTGTGTACATTTGTCTGTCCTTCGCAGACAAGTTGTCTATTACAGACAATTCATATTAAGTTGTCTGTGACAGACAACTTGTCTGTGAAGAACAGACAAGTGTACACAAAATGTGTACACCTAGCAAAACTCTTATATCACCCTACGAACTGTTCATGAAGCCGGCATTTTCATAATTGCCTCTCTAGAATTCTCTCGGCGGGAATACTATACAAAAAGAGAGTTATGCTATAGAATTATAGACACCCAAAAATGGGGTATTCCGTTTTTACCCCACCCTGATGGATGGCCATAAATGGGGCAACTCATTTAAGTGGTGTCCCACTTAAATGAGTTGCCCCATTTATGGCCACCCATCAGGGGGGGTAAAAATGAGGTATCACATTTTGGAGTACCTTTAGCATTTTACACAAAAACTTTTGCTTGAGACTCTGTACAAGATATATTGATGATTGTACTAAATGACTAAGAAGTTGTTCTCTTCGTCGGATCTGAATGTTTTTTATCTGAATTTATTAAGTTCTGATCTGATCTGATCTGAATTTTTCGGATCTGATCTGAATCTTTCTGATCTGATCTGAATCTTTCTGATCTGGTCTGATCTGATCTGAATCCTTCTGATCTGATCTGAATCTTTCTGATATGATCTGAATATTTCTTTAATTATAATTATAATTGTAAATATAATTTAAATATAATTTATAATTATATTCATAATTCTAAAAATAATTAATTATAATTCTAAAAATAATTAATTATAATTATAATTATAATTAAAGTTATAAAAAATTATACCTACTACACTGATTATAATTATAGCTATAATTATAATTGTATATGGAGTAATAACTATAATCATAGCTATAGTTATATAATTGTTATATAATTATAATTACTGTGTATAACAATAAAAATAAATAATAATAATAATAATAATAATAACAATAATAATTATAATAATATGGAGTAATAATAATAATAATAAAGCTAATAATAATAATAATAGTAAAAATAGTAATAATAATAATGATAATAGCAATAATAGCAATAATAAAAATAACAACAATAATAATAACATCAACAAAAACAATAATAATAATAATAATAATAACAACGGCAATAATAATTATAATAGTAATATAATAATAATAATTATTATAATAATTATAATATATATAATACGAACTGAACAGCTTCTAAATCTGACGAATTTTCCGATTTCTTTTCAATTAGGAGACCATGGGGCTTTGGGAGTTTGGGATCACCAAGGAGTTTATTATTTTTCCGATATCTGTTTCCATTGTACTGGGCAGTGGGATTACTGAGGATTCCTTTTTTATTTTTTTTAGTATTTGCTTCTAGTTAGCCAAAGCAAATTCATCATAATTAGATATCTATCACTAATTAAAAGCAAAAGCAAATTAAAGATGTACAAGACATATAAGGCAAATAAGAATAGGAAAGTGGTATGTCACTTCCAGTACAAGACACATAAGGCAAATAAGAAGGATTTTGTAGCAAATGCTTGGATGAAAAGTAAACTTGGATTACTTCTTTTTTTTTGCACTTGGAATACTTCCAATCAAAACAAACTGAAATATTAGGAAGGTTTGCAGTTACCAAATTTATTAAAATACATTCTTGCAGATTGGAAGCAAGATTAACATATTAATGGCATGCAACATCTAGTTTGGTGGCAACTGCAAGTCTAAATTATTGGATAAAAAAACGCCATATAATGCAACCGATGTAAATAGAGAGATTCCCTGCCAGTTTTCGAGGTCCAAAAATAGCCTTCAAGTATTATTAATAAATAGTAACAACTGGAAGACAGAAGTAGATGCAAAAGGTAAATGGTAGCAATTTTGTGGTTTTGTTATTCTTACTGGAGGAGGGGTGCAAAGAACGTGTTTATTATACAAGTCCATAGTATGGGCGTGTACTGATGTGAGTGATGATGGATGTGGCAACAAATGAATCTACAAAGGCTTCACGTTCATAGAATGGCTACAGATAAGCTACACCTTTGTATTATGAAAAAATAAAAAACAAAATGAAAGATGGGCCGGCTCTACTTTTCGATCACAGCCTAGCGGTCAACAGCTGTTGCTTTAGGAGTGGCCTAATGTATTCATGAAACCCATCAGGCACAACCGAATCATTTAATGGGTCTTTCCAAGCTTCTTCATACAGCTTCGGGTACACATTTCCATCATAACGTCCTAGAACCGACCCGAGGAAGTGGTCGGTGTAGTTAAACGCGTCCACGAGTGCAATAGCATTAGGGCGGATCTATAGATAATTATCATTGAAAGCACTAGGATCAGGAGAGTAAGAACTACAAAGGTATGTTTGTACATGGCATTGGACTGAAAGGAGAATTTGATGTAGGGCCAACCTGTGTGTACAATGATCTCAGCTGATCATTGGCGAGTGAGGCTTGCTTTGGTGTGATGTAATTGGTGGAAAGGAAGTCTCCTTGGTGTTTATGGAGAAGATGGAGGGAGTAGATGGCACAAAGAGCCTCCAGTTGCTGCCTCACCCCCCTCCCTGTGATGTCCTGCTGCAATTTTTCTATAAACCTGGAACAAACAAATGATCACTGGAGCCAACCTTAACATGTGTGCGAGCGTGTATGTAGGTAGGTGAGTTTAATTTGGAAGGGGCTGGAAATAAAGCTTACTTGGAAACGACAATTAGTTGGCAGTGAGCAACTGCTGCTTCTACTAAATCAGCAGAGAGCTCCGTAAAACCTGGCAAGATAATAAATGTGGACATATAAGAAAGAACTTGTCCCTATTATCATTAGTCAGCTGAGGGGACAAGTTCAAATTGCATGATGACTCTTTTTGAGTATGTTCTTCATCAAGTCTAATTTATGCATACCCATTTTTTCCTAAAAATTCAACCGGGAAGGCAGCTAAATAAATTCTTTACAAAAATTGTGCTATATATATATATACATATATATATACATATACATACATACATATATATATATACATATACATACATACATACATACATATATATATACATATAAACAGTGCATTTTTTTCCAATAATTTATTTGACTGCCTTCCCGATAGAACTTTAAGCTGAAATTTGGTGGGCAATGGGCATAAATTAGACTTGATGATTAACATGCTCAAAAAATTTCATAAAAAAATACTACCAGAAACGGCCCCAAATGCCCTGGGCCGTACGGCGAGTCCTGTCAGACCACCCTGATAGGATCGCTACTCAGTACGTACATACTTACATACACACATATATAAATAATACAAAATAAAAGGAATCAAATTCGCAAATCTCTCAACTGAATCAAATGTTTTAAGGTTAGCTTGGGAACATTCTTCTTTATGCTTTACATTTTCCGTTTTTAAAAAATTGTTGCATGTGGTGTGCACTATGTATGTGTGTGCCCATGTGTGCATGTGTGTTTATAT